GCAAGACCTGCCAAATTTCAAAGCTGAGCAATCCGTTCACGCCCTGCCCAGAGTGACAAACAGAGCTGTAATTAAGCACCCAGCAGTGCTTTCCTTGGATTCCAAAGGCAAGATTCCAGCTTAGCCAAAGGTTTTTAACTTCTCCTTACATCTCCCAAGAACACATCCTACTTTGGCTTGAGACCTGAAAAATGACAGGTGTGCTTGCATATTCTCTTTTGTCCACACGTGGCCAGATTTTCTGTCTAGAAACCTTTACCTTTTTCAGGCATAAATGGCTTTATTCTGGATGTATATGGATGTTTTACTGAGCACAATGGGGCTACAATTCCTCTAGGGGTTCAGATGAGCTATTGGAACACAAAATGTACAAATGTGTTTCCTGTGCCTCTTAATGAATGTTTTGTTTTTGTTTCTTTAACCCAATAAAACAAATAGAGAGTTCTGGATAAAATTATTGGCTTGATCACRACACTGCTTAATTCTCAGAAGCCAAAGAACATCAGACCAGCCTGAGCAACTGAGGCAGCTGCTCACAGAACCACACTGCTGCTGACACCAGGGCTCACTGAAAGAAAGCAGAGAAACTCTTKTTTTTTTTTAAATTAATGAACGAAAGAATCTGAACTATTAGTTATGTAAGACCATATTACTGTCAATATTTCAAACCATCTGAGGATCTGCACCTCTTTATTTTCTTCACAGATGGACCACACACTATCCTGTACAGGTAATTGTTGATGACAGCGTTGTGTGGAAAATGACCCCTCATTATCAGCTGTGGGTGCCAAGACCTTGTAACTCATTGCAGGCAGTAAATAAAATCCTGCTTGGGCTGATTCTATTAGAATAATTTGATGTTAGAGGACACCCCTGCTCGGAGGTAAAACAAGACTAAAAGCTCCCAGAAGTCTACAAGAATTAAGATAAGAATGTCCACAGCTCTTAATATTTTTAACAGTTAATTAATTAATGGAACTGCTTTAAGCTCTGGAATTTTAAATAATTTGTTTCAAATTTTCTGTTAGTGAATATGCAAACCTAAGTAGCTAACTAGTTTGTTTTTCTGGGATGATATGAGATTCACAGATTTCAGAAGAGACTCAGAATCAATTAAAAAACATGATTTTTGTATATCTAAATGTTAAAAAGAACATTCTAGTGTCTTGGAAGTCCTGAATGTATATTTCAAAATTTTTTTACTCKTTATCTTACAGCAGCCAGTATTGTTTGGACTGACAGTTTTGGCAAGAATTTTGATTGATGAAAGTACCTGAATAACAAGCAGCATATGGTTTTACTCCCTCTTCTCGGATCAGCCTGAGAAAGAGCTTTTTTTTTTTCTTTCATCTTAACAGCTGATTRTTCCTTGTTCCTCTCTCCATGGCAGCTACCCACAGCAGCCTCTTGCCTGGGATGGAAACCTCTAAAATCTGGGAATTTGAAATGGAGATAGGAGGAAATYAAAGCATAGACTTTGTACCCTTTCCTTTTTTAACTATTATTTCAGATGAATCTGTGACAGGAGGACTCAGAATGGTCCACTAACTCTATATTTAGAGAGATAACTGGAATTTTATTCCACAAATTGTTTGCCTGTGAGTAAATCACTTATCTGAGTTGCAAAGCTTCAGGATTCTGGTAACTCTGTTTACAAATAAGCATTGTGATATAATTGTAATATATATCTGGGGAAGGGACATTCACAATCAGAGATTTTTTGAATCTCTTCTTACTTATCGTTGAGCTCATTGATGTAATCTGAAAATAACTGAAAAGGAAGKGTTGAATTTTAGCTTTTTTTAAAAACAATACAAAAGAAATTAAGCAAAAGTACTCTCCCSCAAAGGTTTTATGCTGGCACTGGATAATCCATGGAAATATGGATATGGAAATATTACATATGAATGGTATCTCTTATTGCTCCCTGCTTAATAAGATAATGATTTTGCTAATGAGAAAATCGAGAATTAATCCAAATTTCTACAAGCAATTTGCCTGTTGGATTTAAAAACTGCAATTGGTTTGCTATTCAAATGAATTTTCTTATCAGAAAATATTTTTGCTTTGAAAATCAAGAAWTTTTTTCCTGATCTATTCAGGAGGCCAGTTTAATTATTAATATTAGAACATAGGGTAATTTTACAAATAAATTTAAAAATAGGCTATAAACTCCCAGTGAATGTGGTTACAGAAGCATTTTCATGGCAAACTATATATTTTGCATTTTATTTCCATTTGTTATTCCATTCTTCCTAGTAATTTGAAAGTGTTTTCCAGGATTCTGCCTGCAGGTTGCAAGCATCAGTAACAAGTTGCACTATTAACTCGGATCCTGGAAACCCATACTTCAGTAAGGGGAGTATATTCACAGAAACTCATTGAAGTGAGTATTTTTTTTGTTTTCAGCTTGTTTAGTCTAACAAGATGCCAGTTTGAAGCAAGTCCCTAAAAGAACTTTGGTGATTCATGTATTCTCTCTGCTTGTTTTTTTTTCCTGTCTTCATAGATTTCTTACTTTCTTCCTATTTAAATTTCTAAAATAATTAAGTGTATACATTTTTAAATACATATGTGGGAGTATATTTTTAGCATAGAATTTGGTAGTACATGTTTTTTTTTACTTTTAGTTTTACCAAAAAAAAATCTCAGATGTAGAGATGTTCACTCTTCAGTTTGCCTTAGCATCCTTGTATTTTCAYKTTTTGAAATAAATTAGTTTTKTTGGTCCTAAGACCACTCAAATATAAAACTAAATTTTCTAATTAATGTTATCAATCCTTTGGTGCTAAGTTTTTCATTTTCAAACAGTTGAATATCACAATATAGTTGATGCACTCCCATGTTATCAAATAAATGCTCAAGGTACAGCTTATAATGTTGAAAAATAGAAAAATAAATTGACCTTGATGAAGTGTGTCTTCTTTTGTCTGTTCCCAGGAAAGTTTATTTCAGGTATTTCTACTGCTGAAATGATTAGAGTTAACAGCTTTTTCCCTCCATTTTATTTTACAGGGTCTCTTCATCTTCCTGATATATGGGGTGTACAACACAGAGGTAAGTCTGCTTGGAGTATCTCAAGGCTGACAGAGTGAATGAGAGAAATGACAGGTTTCTTATCTTGATAACTGAGGGACAAAGTTGGCTTTCCATGCGAGTGTCCTACTGCCCTTCATGCTTGGACTGGCTTATATGCATCCCAGCTTACCATTAAACACAGACACCCTGAATAAAGGGACAGACTCATTTCTCATAGGCACGGACTAATATTTTACTGCTGCTTTAAGTTTTTTGAATCCCTAGTCTGTTTTTTAACACTTAGCTAAACCTGACAGTCCTAAACAGTGGTAATCTAATGCACATTTCGAAATTAACTGTTATTTACATGCTATGTAAAGGAATCTATATGTAAATTATAAAAGGCCCAAGTTTTACTAAAAAAATTTCTGAGGTACAGAAATGRTATCAAATTCCACTTTTTGCCTCAATCAGATACGTTCAAGATTTTAAGGTCTGACCCAGGCCCGTGTACCAGATAGGGTTATGAAAAGTACTTGCTATTTACAGGCTCATCTGTCATAAAGGAAAATATTWTAGACAGATAAAGCAAAAAATAATAAGGAATTTATCCACCTTGTTCCATTACGGCCATTATGTTAATGATARAAATTAGTGTCAATGTTTATTCCAAGTTTTTAAGCTAAGGTACCTGTGATGTTTGCATTTTAAAGCCTTACAGAAATATAAAAAGCTTTCAAAGTAATTAATTAAGAGATTAAGCAGAACTCTATTAGCATCTAACGTGGGACACGGACTATCACAAAAATAGTGGAAATTATTAACCAAAATATGCTGCTATTTCAAATTAACCATTTTATTGTATTTCCATGATGAGGTTAGAATACATGCTTCCCGTACMTGMAGCTCAACCAACGAGCATTATTAAYAWGGGTTTTGCTGTAACAGTGGGCCWAAGAATCCCGGCTGTGGCCCCGGGGACTGAGCTGCCGGTGAGATGTCCCAGGGGTGCAGTCATGGGGCAGTTTGCCGCTGGAAAAGGCTGGGGCCCGGGACCTGCTCCCCAGTGTGAACACGCTGAGGAGCGGGGGAGCAGCGTGTGTCAAACGTGCCCGACTGGTACATCCCACTGCAACACTGGTACTGTTTCAGGTGTGGGAACGGTGGCTTCATTATCTCCGTGGCGTTACGCGCAACTCGTGCATGTCACCGGTTTGGGATCAAACAGCGACATCCTCGAGCCTTTGTTAAAAAGGCGCAATTCCGGCCTCTCTGCATCTGCCGCTTCTTTACACGGGTCACCAGCCCAGCTGCGCCCGCAGCCGCTGCCCGCGTTCGGAGCTTTGCACAGTCCTTTGCACAGCCTGGGACCGGCCGTGCCGCGCCTTCTGGGGCAGCACCTGCGCTCTGATGGCGGGCTGCCCCGTGTCTCCGCGGGCGGGCGGAGGTGCCCGGTCCCGTTATCCCAGGCCGTGCCCAGCTCCGCCCGCAGAGATCCCGCGGTTGCCGGAGCCCGTCCCGCCGGTACCGCCCGGCCCGGCCCAATCCAACCCAACCCAACCCAACCCAGCCCAGCCCAGCCCAGCCCAGCCCGGCCCGGCCCC